ACTGACGTGGTGGTGGTGTGTTAGTGTGAGTTGTGCTGCTCTGAGTGGATCAGACACAGCAGTGCTGCTGGAGTTTTTAAACACTGTGTCCACTCACTGTCCACTCTATTACACACTCCTACCTTGTCAGTCCACCTTGTAGATGTAAAATCAGAGACGATAGCTCATCTGCTGCTGCACAGTTTGTGTTGGTCATCCTCTAGTCCTTCATCAGTGGTCACAGGACGCTGCCCACAGGACGCTGTTGGCTGGATATTTTTGGTTGGTGGACTGTTCTCAGTCCAGCAGCGACACTGAGGTGTTTAAAAACTCCAGCAGCACTGCTGTGTCTGATCCACTCAGACCAGCACAACACACACTAACACACCACCACCACGTCAGTGTTACTGCAGTGCTGAGAATGACCCACCACCCAAATAGTACCTGCTCTGTGAGGGTCCATGGGGGTCCTGACCACTGAAGAACAGGGTAAAAGGGGGCTAACAAAGTATCAGAGAAACAGATGGACTACAGTCTGTAACTGTAGAGCTACAAAGTGCACCTATATAGTAAGTGGAGCTGATAAAATGGACAACGAGCGTAGAAACAAGGAGGTGGTCAGAATGTGATGCCTGATCGGTGTATATTTGAAGTACATTTCCAATGCATTGTCAAATGCAGTCCACACTGAAATACATTCCAAACTCTGAAATGTATTTCAGAATATTTTGCCATAATAACTGAATATATTTTAAAATACTTAAAATACTGGCTAAGATTGCTTTCATACAGCGATCTTATACCAACGTGATAAAAAAAACAATAACATGTCAACGTTACATTCTAGTTTACATAATTTAGGTTGTAAATCAAATGAACAAACGTTGCTCACTACCGCCCTCTAAAGGCGTCATTAACAAACATCAAATAAACAAATGTCGCTCGCCGCCGCCCTCTAAAGGCGCCATTAACAAACATCAAATAAACAAACGTCGCTCGCCGCCGCCCTCTACAGGTGTGATGGTGGTGTGTTTATGCGTGAATGTTTTGTCTGCCTTCTTTCATTATTTGTAATTTAGCCTTATACTAACAGAATGAAATCACTTCTTTTTGCCGTTCCCACCCCTCAGTTTACGCCCCAGCTTTAGATCCATGAGAAATCAGCCCTATATAATGTAAACGGTTGCCAGGTCCTCGTTACTGTGGATATTTCTCAGAGTGAGAGGAGTCCCGGCCCGCTAAGCAAACACGGCTCAGAGGAGGCTGGGAGTGTTTCTCTGGCCGTGATTTAAACGTTTCCTGCTGGGTCGGGCTCCATGGTTACGGGGCCGCTTTCACTCAGACGCTGACGTCTATGGCCTGTGGCTCTTTGGGAAGCAGCTTGGCAAACAGAAGAAGAATGAAGCACAGAGGAGCAGTCATACCTTCATCTCCTGAGAGAAGGTCACTGTGAGAGCTAATAGAAGATTTATAGCAGCGGTTCTTCATCTCGGTCTTGGTAGTTCCTCACTTTGCACATTTTTATGTTTTTTTCCTGCTGTAAGGCCCTGACTCAGCTGGAGGGCTGGCTAATTATCTAATGAGTTGAATCAGGTGTGCTGGAGCAGGGAAGATGCAGAAATTGGCAGTGGGACTGGGATTGAGAGCTGTCGGTTTGGGATATTAAAGCACTGCCTCAGCAAAAAAATCATAAAACTTACAAATTGATAGACTTTCTGCAAACGTCAACCATATAACCACATAAGCGAGTGTGTTTAAGATTAGTTATCAGTCTGAGGCGAGCGTGTGATGAGTTAGACCTGCAGCCTGCATGATGCTAATTGGTAGAGTATACGTTCTATTACATAGATCAGGCGTAACATTATGACCACCTCCTTGTTTCTACACTCATTGTCCATTTTATCAGCTCCACTTACTATATAGGTGCACTTTGTAGTTCTACAGTTACAGACTGTAGTCCATCTGTTTCTCTGATACTTTGTTAGCCCCCTTTTACCCTGTTCTTCAGTGGTCAGGACCCCCATGGACCCTCACAGAGCAGGTACTATTTGGGTGGTGGGTCATTCTCAGTACTGCAGTAACACTGGCGTGGTGGTGGTGTGTTAGTGTGTGTTGCGCTGGTCTGAGTGGATCAGACACAGCAGTGCTGCTGGAGTTTTTAAACTCTGTGTCCACTCACTCTCCACTCTATCAGACACTCCTACCTTGTCAGTCCACCTTGTAGATGTAAAGTCAGAGACGATAGCTCTTCTGCTGCTGCACAGTTTGTGTTGGTCATCCTCTAGTCCTTCAGCAGTGGTCACAGGACGCTGCCCACAGGACAACGAGCGTAGTGTGAATGTAAACATCTTACAACTTTCTTTTACAGTCCACCAGGTTCTAGGTATTAAGCAGATAAGTGAGGGTTTGGGACAGACTCCTCCCAGTAGAATGTTCCCTGTAAATGATGATTTTGTATATATTTTAGTTAAGTGACCCTTATTAGTCCCACAACGGGGAAATTTGACCTCTGCATTTAACCCATCCGTGCAGTGAAACACCACATACACACTAGTGAACACACATACTAGGGGGCAATGAGCACACCTGCCCAGAGTGGTGGGCAGCCCTATCCACAGCACCCAGGGAGCAGCTGGAGGGTTAGGTGCCTTGCTCAAGGGCACTTCAGTCACATACTCTTGGCTCAGGGGATCGAACCGGCGACCTTCCGGTCATAAGGCTGCTTTCCTAACCTCCAGCCCACGACTGCCCCACAATATTTAGCTTATTATTATCTCTACTAGTGTGTTGGGTTTAAATAGATCATGACATAATCATTATAAATATCCAAGCTCTAATATTTCAATGTTTTTTTTCCCTGCAGTATGATCTAATTTGGTCGAATGGTCCACATACACCTACATATTACATAAATAAAGATCTGACTGATTGATAGCAGTTGTGAAACTCAGCCATACATCGTTAAGTTTTGCTGAGTTTTAAAAAAGGGAGAAATATTATTTTTAGTTGACAAAACCACCCAGTAATAATATTACATAAGAGTTGCGTCATATTAAGTACATAAAGCTCAGTGCCAGGAGATGTTTGGGAGTCGTCGGGAGCTGGCAGGTGATGACAGGTAGCAGCAGAAGGAGAAACGCTGTAACGAGCAGCCATTAGGATAAAGGGCTTAACGAGCGTTTGTGCTGGAATGAATGAGGACAGTCAGGCTGACTTGACAAAGAGTTCTTTTAAAAGCCTCGCAAAGCCAGAGAGGGATAATAGTTTGGCTGAGAGGAAACCTCTGCTTCTCACCGCACTCGCCCCCCCCCCCAATCTCCCTCCTTCCTCAGCACTAAGCCTGTGCCAGGCCTTTCAAATGCTAATGTATTTGAGGAGAGAGAGAGAGAGAGAGAGAGAGAGAGAGAGAGAGAGAGAGAGAGAGAGAGAGAGAGAGAGAGAGAGAGAGAGAGAGAGAGAGAGAGAGAGAGAGAGCGAGAGAGAGAGCGAGAGCGAGAGAGCGAGAGAGAGAGAGAGAGAGAGAGAGCGAGCTTTGGTCCGGCTTAGGGAAGGCCCGGCCCTCCACTGCCTGCTAATGTTTAGGAGGCCCTATATGGGGAATGGTTAAAAAAAAAAAAGGACTTATAAAAGTCCCATATTGGGAGAAAATGGGATTTTCCACAATAAATAAACGAGTGTAACGTCAGTGAGTGGGACGTTTGATGTAAACACTGCAAAAGTACCAAATCCTAAAGTGCCCGTATATCCACACAGTCCATATGAAGAAACGAAACTTTGTCACAAGCTGTTTAAAATTCCTTGTGGGCACATTTGCATAAACCGGCCTACATCGACTGTTTTAGTATTTGGGTCGTTCAGTAAACTGCAAAGTAGCAGAACGTGCAGATAGCATGTCTGGTAGTTCATATCAGAGCTAACAGCATGAATACGAGCGGAGAAAAATACCCAAACAAGAGATTGTGCCTCTGCATGGCCACCAAACTATTATTATATTAATAATTATATTAATAATATAAATAATAATTATTTTTTTAAATAATAGAAACCATTAAAAATGCTGTTGGCTCCTGGTGGTGTCCGACAATCAGTAATGGGACACACACTCAATGATTTCTGTCTTGTTTATTACTTTTCAAGCCTAAAGTGAGCATTAATTCATTTGTTCATCAGACCAGTTAAACAGTAATGACCAGCAGGAGTGACCAGGTTCACCAACGAAAACGAAATGATTTGTCTAATTAACTGAAAAGTAAGGTGAGTAAGAGAACGGAAACATTAGCAGGACCAAAACTGGTGTCTGTTTCCTTTACGTAGGTCAGTATTTACTGTTTTATTTAGGTTAGTATTTTGTTGTATTGCCCTTCCTTTGTTTAACAGCTTGAAGCCTTGTAGTCATGGAGTGCATGAGTTTGCACTGATGGTCAGTCAGGCTTGTAGGATGTTCTCTTTTGGGCGGTCAGACTGTGGCAGGATATATATAGAGATATGTGTATAGATATTTTGAAATTTATATTATGAGATATTTTGAGAGCTGTCAAAGGAAACAATCACATTTAATCACATTCTGTGTAGTTAATTGCAAATAATCTTATTTGCTCAATTTAAAAGCAGTGATCTGTTTTAAAAGCATCGCTACAGTCATATGCAAAAGTGTGTGCGCCCCTGGTCAAATTCCATGTTGTTGATTTAAGTGAATAAGTGAGCACACCATCTACAGAGACACACTTCTGCACATTTTAATGCACAATTACTGTTTATTTACTGAATTTAACACAACAAATGTGGTCTGTGCAAATGTTACGGCACATTTAATTTTAGTTTTATTTTTTCCAATATGTTAAACTCAATAGCAAATAGCAAATCAATAGAAATTGTGCACTAAAATTTGTCATATTTAAGTGTTTTCTGTGTAAACATTATTTTTTTTACTATAAAAAACAATATTAAAATTAAATACACATATATATTTGTGTATAGAATTTTAATATAAAAAAAAACCATGAATGCTTACAAATGGACCGTATACACAGACAACTGTGGACGACTCTTTGAAGTCCAGCCGTGGCGTATCTGTGGTTGTGCTGAGGGCATCTGACCATTAGAGCTCCATCTGAAGCCAGTGACCTTTCCTGAGCCTCCAGGAGAACGTTCTAATGTAATTATCAGCCTGCTTCATTCCTCTGAGGGGTTCTTCATCAGATGGAGTAACTCTATCTGCTGCAGCGTTCCTCATTAAGATAAAGGAGATAAGGGGACGATAAATCAGTGAAGGTTCGTTTCAGAGAGGAGAGCCGGCACCAGCCAACACATCCTGGGTTCTGCTAAATATTTGCGAAAAAATATTTTTTTTACTTTTATCAGCAGCCTGCAGACTCCCCTCACCAAGCTAGAACAAAGCACGCTGCATATACTATGACTATGTATATATTCTGTAATAAAAATAATAAATGGTAAACAAATTAAAAACACAATAAACCAATAAGAAAATCTTCATTTCACATTTCAGCATAAAATTTTGGAGTTCTTATGTGTGCAGCAGTGAATTAGTTCATTGAATTATGTAGCTGTAACTGTTTGAAAATGGTTCTATATAGCACCAAAAACGGTTCTGCTGTTTTACAATGTCAGGTTTGTAGCTATATTTTTGGTATCTGAAGTATATCTGAAGAACCATTCCACCATGCAAAGAACCCTTTAAGCATGAAATGGTTCTATATAGAACTCCTTGTTCTAAATAGAACCTTTACCTTAAAGATCTTTCTTTTTTGGTGCTTTTTGAAAGCTACTTAAAGGGGAACCAATCCACCAATTTTTAAAAGAATTCTACATAATTCAGTGGTTAAGATGTAAACAGAGTCATTCAGAGTGGTTTGGTGTGAAACGCTCTGTTCTAGAGAAACTGACCGAGTCAGAACTGTTCACAGTGGTGGTGATAGGAACCAGACGTCCACCTCTAAAAGCTCCCTCACAGAAAGTTCCTACATGAAATGGTTATGAATTCACTGTTATGGTTATTTTACTCAATTAATTTTAATCCATTCATGGTGGAGGGATACATGCAGGGTGCTGTGAGGAAAAATAGTCCCCAAAGAAAACTTATTATTTCAGATTTTCCACTATTTTCCATCATCAACATTCCATATAAACTCAGAAGACTCGTGTAGGTTCACTGCTGGTTCTGGATAGTAAATAAAATGTCTATATGTGTGTTGTAGTCATGGCGACCCCTGGTTCCTATCACCACCACTGTAGAGACATCTGAACCATTTCACACCACTCTTTTTTGGTGGGATTCCCCTTTAACTCAGTTGTGTGAGCTGAATAACATTCATAAGTAAACCAAACAGTTGTTTTGAGTGTGAGTTTTGCTGACGAAGCGATTCTGAACTTTCCCTTTAAGTCCAGGTGTTTGGATGTATGTGACCAGAGCAGAAGGTTTGCCGCTGTGATGGATGTGATGGATGTGGTGTGTGTGGGGGGGGGATGTGGGTAATTAAGCAGGCTAATAGGGTGTGACTAATGAAGATGAGAGTTAATTCTGGAGCGCTTCTTTCACCGTGAGCACAATGGCACTCTGTGCACGACTCCGCTGAGCCTTTTCACGTCTGCTCGGCTTTTGTCTTCTCTGCTGGACGTGTTTCCCGTTCCTCAGCAGCGTCCAGCTCCAGAACCGGACTAGCCGGCCTCGCCTGCTGACGGACAGTTTTCAGGAGCGTGGTGGTGTTTTACTGAATGCAGTGTGTATATATGTAGATGGGTCATTCTACAGAAACGTCCACTTTCCTGTCTCTCCATAGGAGTCACTGGTGTTACTGATCCTCATTGGTGTTACACATAATAAAGGAAACACCAGAGACATTTTTAATGAGCAATGCATTTTACAGAATGGCTGCTACAAAAGCATCAAACCACATGTTGTCCATCATGGAATATCCACCAAAATACGAAATTTAATCCATTTGTTCTATTTTTTCACAGTGACCTCAGAATAAAGTCGGTCACACCAGTGACTTCAGCTAAAAGCTTCATATGAAATCATGAGCTAAATGAGAAAATCTCTGATAACTGAAAGACTCAGTGGACTCACCATGAGCTTTTCTTCATAGATCCTCAGAAAACAGGTAAAAGGAAGTCGAGTGATGTCATCAGCGTGACTTTTATTTCAAAATAAGAGATTTTTTGTTACACAGTAACACCAGTGACACGACTCCTGGGGACACAACTCTCATTATATATTTTATAATATTTATTTGTTTTCTTTATGTCATTTAATCTATATATTTCATAGTCATGTATAGATTATTGCAGTTAAAATTGCAGAAAAATGTGTTTTTTACCTCAAAATATGTCCTCAGCCTTCACACATGACTGTGAGGACGAGCTCTTCTGTGGTGCTTGGAATTCTAGATAATTGATTTAATAACCAATATTGCTAAATTGAGGCTCAAGAAGGTGTAATTGTTAAAATAACTTATTGTTCTATTTTAAAATATAAATAAATTGTAACCCTAACATGTTTTTTCAGTGTAATATATCTGTAAACGCTAGAATGACCCAGATGTACAGCAGACCGGCACTGTCAGAACTTCATCACTTTATAGAAGGAAAAATGGATCTTTACTGTAATGTAAGTCAATGTAAAGTTTTATTTCGACTAGTTTTATCTCTGTCGGTTCGTTCGTGGACGAATGTTTATACGCTGTTAAAAACGGCTGATAGTTTTAAAGAAAAGAGAAAGATGGCAGAGCTGACCGAGACGGGTGTGGGTCACACGGCTTTTCCCATCACTGTCCTGCTCCCGTCATGTTCCAGCAGGAGGAACGACAGACTTTCATTTTCTTCTCAAACAAACTTTTTCTTTCTTTTCTCTCTTGTTTCTCTCTCCCCCCTCCCTCTCTCTCTTTCTCCTCTCTCTCTCTCTCTCTCCCTCCCTATTTCTCTTTCTCCTCTCTCTCTCTCTCTCTCTCTCCTACTTCTCCTCCCTTTCTCAGTCCTCTCACCCTCTTTCTTCTCTCTCTTCTTGCTGTTTTTCCCTCTCCTCTTTCTTCTTCTGTCTGTCTCTCTCCCCCTTTCTCTTTCTTTCCCTCGATCCCCTTCTCACTCCTCACTGTTTCTCTCTCTTTCTCCCTCTTTCTCTCTCCTCTCTGTTCTGTTACTCTCTCCCCCCCTCTCTCTTCTCTCTTCTTGCTCTCTCCTCTCTCTCTCTCTGTCTGTCTGTCTCTCATCTTTCTCCTTCTTTTTTAATCTTTATTTTTATCTTCTCTCTTTTTTCTCTCTCCCCCTTTATTTCTTCCCTTTTCTCTCTACCGCCCTTTCTCTTTCTCTTTCTCTCTCTCTCCCGCTCTGTTATCTATTTCTGTCTGTCTGTCCGTCTATCTCTTTGTCTCTCCTTTGTCTATCTCTCTCTCCCTTTCTGTCTGTCTCTCTCTCTGTTCTACTTCTCTTCCCTTTCTCTATCCTCTCACCCTCTGTTACTCTCTCTCCTTTCTCTCATCTTTCTCCTTCTTTCTTATTTTATCTTCATTTTTATCTTCTCTCTTTTTTTCTCTCCTTTTCTCTCTCCCACGCTTTGTCTTTCTCTTTCTCTCTCTCTCCTTCTCCCTCTCCTCTTGCTCTCTGTTGCTCTATTTCTGTCTGTCTGGCTGTCTCTCTCTCTCTCTGTTGCTCTTTCTATCTCTCCCTCTCTATCTCCCTTTCTGTCTCTCTCTTATTTCTCCCTTTACCTATCATATCACTGTTATTCTCTCTTTCATCTCTCTCTCTTCTTACTCTATTTTTTCTGTTTCTCTCTTCTTTCTTTCTGTCTCTCTGTCTCTCCCCCTTTCTTTTTCTCTCCCTTGATCCTCTTCTCTCCCCTCTCGCTGTTACTCTCTTTCCCCGTCTCTCTCTCCTCTCTCTCTCCTCTCCTCTCTTCTCTTCTCACTATATTACTCTCTCTCTCTGTCTCTCTCTCTATCTCTCTCCTCTCGCTCTGACACTCTCTTTCCCTCTCTCGCTTCTCACTGTCTGTTACTCTATCTCTTTTTCTCTCCTCTTTGTCTCCTCCCCTTTTTCCTCTGTTTCTCTCTCTCTCTCTCTCTCTCTCTCTCTCTCTCTCTCTCTCTCTCTCTCTCTCTCTGTGTGTGTGTAATTGGAGGAGTGTGTGTGTGTGTGTGTATGTGTATGTGTGTGTTTGTGATTACCCAGCATGCTCGAGTGGGAAAAATTTTCCCAGAGAATCTGCCGTTTTCACTGCCGGCCCTCACAGCGCTCTGACCGCTGCCTTCTCTGACCCTCGCCGTCCGCTCGCTCGGGCTGCTGATTTACGCGACCTGCGGAGAGACGGAGGTCAGAACACAGGTCAGGATGCAGGTCAGGAGAGTTTATCGTCACTGCGCAGTGAGGTTTAGCTCTGATCTGAGGGGTCTGTAGATCTGAGCTGCTTCAGGACCACCCAGGGAGATGCTGTGGAGCAGACGGAGACCCTCTGAGTCACAGCAGCTATAATCACATACGTCTAATTCTGTATGGAGATATTTCAGGACAGCTTCGCCTGTAATGTAACCTGATCTGACGCCATAATGAAACGTTGATCATTAATCAGTCGATTAAACTCTGAAGGTCTGTATGACGGTCCACACTTCGTCTCCACACTCAGAACTACAGAATCAGCATGTTAGTTTCACTGTAGATACCAGAGGTGTGGACTCGAGTCATGTGATTTGGACTCAAGTCTGACTCGAGTCACAAATTTGATGACTTTAGCCTCGACTTGAGAAAATCGAGAAAGACTTGGGACTCGACTTTGACCTCGACACCAATGACTCGGACTCTGACTCGGACCTGAACATCTTGAATCAGAAAGACTCGAGACTCAAAGCGGAAGAAACGTGGAGGGTCTGGCTGCAGACGAGATGCTACACCGCCGGTTATTTTTAATGGGAATGAATTCGTTTCCTGCTGTAAACTGAAGAAAGAGCAACGTCGTCAGATGCCTTTCTGATCTTATGCTCGACTTCAGAAGACGAGAGAAACATAAGAGCTCAACTTCACCTCCATAAGCTGGAAACACACAAAGCATCAACATCATCAAGGCACTTAAACTCCAGCCTTACTGGAGAAACTCACCGGGCGAACTGACCGTTTTCCTCACGGCAGCAAAACAAAAGAAGCCCAGCTCTCTCTGTTCGACTTCATGAGGCTGAAGTTGACTTTTTGTTTGCCAACTTCGTATTGGAATTTTCCGTTCCACCTTAAAAGGTGCAGCAGTGAAGTGCCTGAACGTGACTGCTGCACCATTTAAGGTGGAACGGAAAATTCTATTAAGAAGCTGCTGGCAAAACAGTCAACGTCAGCTTCGTACATTCACCATCGTTTTGCTGTCTTTTCTGTAAACTTTGTTCAGTTCGCTGGTTTTGGTTTCTGTTGTCTAAATTAAGCTCAAACTAGTGGTTGTTTTTAGTTGGCTGAGCTAGTTTTTATTTTAATCCTGTGCAGCCAACGTTCCCAAAAACACAACACACACTAACCACACTAACACCACGTCAGTGTTACTGCAGTGCTGAGAATGACCCACCACCCAAATAGTACCTGCTCTGTGAGGGTCCATGGGGGTCCTGACCACTGAAGAACAGGGTAAAAGGGGGCTAACAAAGTATCAGAGAAACAGATGGACTACAGTCTGTAACTGTAGAACTACAAAGTGCACCTATATAGTAAGTGGAGCTGATAAAATGGACAATGAGTGTAGAAACAAGGAGGTGGTCATAATGTTATGCCTGACCGGTGTGTGTATTACATACTGAATCATTGAAAGTAGTTCTTAAATGACTCTCAGGAGAATCATTCAGCAGCCAACAAAGGAAACCCGCTCTTTAATACTTAATCAGTCTGAGAAGCTGGATGTCCCCAAACTTTTGTCTGGTGTTGTAGGTGCTCAGGAATGGAGGCAGTTTCTGTTGAGAGGCTTAAACATGATAAACAACCACATCATACAAGCTTATAATAAACGACGAACTACAATCCAGTTAAGCATGAGTCCGAATCCGAGTCAGTTGAACATGAGGCTGAGTTGCAAGTCATTTAAGCACAAGTTCAAGTCATAAGTCAGTTAACTCTGAGTCAGTTAAGCGCGAGTCAGTTCAAGTCTGAGATGTGAGCTGGTTGAGCATGAGTCAATTAAGTGCAAGTCAGAGTCGAGTCGTTAGTTAAGCATGAGTCCAAGTCACTAGTCAGTTGAGTCCAAGTTGAGTCACACATTGGATGCGCACGAGTTTGAGTCAAGTTGTGAGTCAGTTAAGCACAAGTCCAGGTTGTCACTTAACGGTTTAGTTAAGCATGAGTCTGACTGTTGACTTGCGAGCCAGTTCAACCTTAAGTTGGAGACGTTAGTTGGTTGATCATGAGTCAATTAAGTGCAAGTAATAGTCGAGTTGTGAGTCAATTAAGCACGAACTGAGTCCAAGATGCAAGTCAGTTGAGCATGAGCCACTTAAGTGCACGAGTCAGAGTCACAAGTCAGTTAAGCATGAGTCTGAGACAAGTCGTGAGTTAAGCACGAGTCCAAATCACTAGTCGAGTCCGAGTCCAGTCATGAGTCAGTCAAGCGTGAGTTCAAGTCGTGAATCAATTAAGTGTGAGTCTATGTTGTGAGTCAGTTAACCGCCAGTCTGAGTCGCAAGCCAGTTAAGTGTGAGTCAGAGTTGCGAGTCAGTTAAGTGTGAGTTTGAGTTGTGAGTCAATTAAGTGTGAGTCTAAGTTGTGAATCAGTTAACAACGAGTCCAAGTCTCAAGCCAGCAAGTGTAAGGCCGAGTTGTGAGTGGGTTGAGTGTGAGTTAAAGTCATGAGTCAGTTATATGTGAGTCTATGTTGTGAGTCAGATAACCGCAAGTCCAAGTCATTAGCCAGTTAACTGTGAATTTGAGTTGTGTCAGTTAACCATGAGTCCAAGTCACAAGCCGGTTGTGAGTCAGTCAAGCGCAACTCCAGTGCGTCTCGACCCCGAGTCACTGTCGTCAGTCCCATCTCTGCAGTCTGTGATCTGTAAATATAGATAAAATATCAATATTTTGAAGCTTAATGTCAGAACATTACAGTGACGGCTCGTTTGCTGTGTTTTGGCCAAACTGTTACCGTTAAACGGTGGAAAGTTCCGTCTGTTCTTTACTGTCTATCGTTCTCTCTCCTCTCCAGGAAATCCTTCCTCCCAGTCACGTCCCGTCTGCTGCGGCCTCTGATGGCAGCCGTGTGTTTATATGAGTTTCAGATCAATGTCCTGCAGCTCGAGCCCAGAGCGATCAATACACAACCCTCACACGGCTCCACTCAGCGAGGCCCAGAGCTTTAGAAGAACTGCTAGTTTCAAATCACGAACGTTGAATAAACAACTACAAACGTCATTACAGATATTTTACACTACAGTCATTACTTACATGGCTCTGTTTTAATGGGTGTGTCTCAAAACCTAGTGAGCTCTACATAGACCGCACTTTACGTCACAATATGCGCTCCCGACAAGAAGGCTGTCCCAATTCTTAGATATCTCAAATACGCTGCCTACTGAGGTCTCATTTTGGCCGAATATCGAGAGAGCATCAGATGTTTCCTCAGCCGCTGAGACAATCCCGCGATGCAGCGCGGCGCAGCTTTTGTCTGAAGATGGCAGAAGCGCTTCACCAAGCAGCGACATCATCTTCAAACGTAAGTTATTCTGATTTTCTGGGGTATTTATCTGTTTTCTAGTCATAAAGGTGCACAAATAGCCAAGACTTTCCACGTTTGACCACAACTGTTGTCTATTTTGCTGTTTCATTCAGAGCAAATACAGTTAAAATCGCTATATAAGCTGCCAGAGCAGATCCATGTTGGCTAACTGTGATTCTGGCGGCTGAGGTAAGTAAATGCCGGTCTCATGCAGTGGGCAGGAACAAGCGGCGACGTGACTGTTGTCCAACTAGAGCGTCTCATTTATCTGCCTTATAAGGACAGATGACGGTTGGAACTCTGCCTATGTAGACAGCGGCTACTTAGAGAGCTCTCTAGGTTTTGAGACACACCCTCTGTCTGCATTTAACGTTTTCATTTTCTGGTTGAAGCTATTTTTCTTCTTTTTTAAAATAAGAGTTAGTATATAAACACTGTTTACAAAATGATTTACCCCCATATATACACCGATCAGGCATAACATTATGACCACCTCCTTGTTTCTACACTCATTGTCCATTTTATCAGCTCCATTTACTATGTAGGTGCACTCTGTAGTTCTACAGTTACAGACTGTAGTCCATCTGTTTCTCTGATACTTTGTTAGCCCCCTTTTACCCTGTTCTTCAGTGGTCAGGACCCCCATGGACCCTCACAGAGCAGGCACTATTTGGGTGGTGGGTCATTCTCAGCACTGCAGTAACACTGACGTGGTGGTGGTGTGTTAGTGCGTGTTGTGCTGGTGCGAGTGGATCAGACACAGCGGTCTTTACAGAAGGAAGAAAAAACATACTTTACGTTTAATGTAAGTCAATGGAACCAGACATTTTTCCAAGTCATTTTGGGCCGTTTCTTTTGGCCCATTGTGAAATTTTCACACAATATAGATGACGGTAGGTTTTTTTCAAACTATGACAAAATGGTAATGATAAATTGAGTTGTGCGTAAAACTACACTGTAAAAATGGCTCATCGGATCAGCCTAAAAATGACTTGTGGTAAAAAGTAAATTAACTAGTTTTATTCAACGTACATTAACACTTTAAATGAACGATTATTTCAATAAATGAAGTGTTTGGAGTTGAATAAAACTGGTTCAGTTGCTTATTACATCGTCATTTTTTAGGTTGATGTGAATATGTTACATTATGTGAACAAATGTTATAAACAGGCCGAAGGAACCAATAATATACTATATTAATGTGTAATATGGACCCTTTATAATGCTGTTTGGGCTGAACCTCCTCATCTCACCCCGGAGCTCAGGCCGTTTTATCACTGTAACGCTGTTTAAATGGTTCTAAATGAAGACGGGCAGATAAAGAGCAGAGATCTTGAATCTGTAAGGCGCCGAGCGTCATCAATCAGAGTCTGGGCTGTTTCTGAGGCTGTTGGTGCCTCAGGGCTCTGAAATCTCTCTGATCAGAGACTCGGACTGAGAGTCAGAGCTGCATTAGTCGAGCTCAGCAGATCAGCTGGAACTTCATCTCCCTCTCCAGTGCCCAGTATCTTCCCCCTCTTCCCCCTCTTCTCTCCATTTTCTTTCTTCCCTCTGTGCCCTCCCTTCTTTCTGTTCCCTCCATTCCTCTGTTCCCTCTGTTTCCTCTCTACCCCTGTTCCCTTTCTCTGTTCCTTCTCTTCCCTTAGTCCTCTCTCCTCCATTCCCTCTCCTCCCTCCGTTCCCTCCTTTCCTTCCATTCCCTACTGTGTTTCTCCGTTCCCTCTCTTCCCTCCATTCTCTCACTTCCCTACGTTCCCTCTCTTCCCTCATTACCTTCCATTCCTTATGTTCTCTGTTCCCTCTGTTCCTCCCTCCCATCTGTTCTCTCTATTCTTCTGTTCCTCTCTTCCCTCTGTTCTCTTTATTCCTTCTGTTCCTCTGTTCCCTATGTTCCTCTCTTCCCTCTGTTCTCTAAGTTCCTCTGTTCTCTCTGTTTCCTTATATTCCTCTGTTTCCTCTGTTCCCGCTGTTCCCTCCATCCCCTCTCTTCCCTCTATTCCTCTGTTCCCTCTGTTCTCCATGGATATCAGTCTGATTCGATCAGTCAGGCTGAGTTTCTCTCTCTCTCTGTTTTTCTCTCCTTTCTTTCTCCCTCTGTCTTATTTCTTCATCTTTCTTTTACTTTATCATCCTTTTTATTCTGTTTTCTTTCCTTCATTCCTACATTTTCCTTTATTTTACTGCTTTTTTTTTTCTTATTTTCTTTCCTTCTTTCCTTTTTTCTTTCTTTCAGCTCATACTTGTTATACTGTTTATCTTTCTCTCTCTCTTTCTGTTGTCTCTCTCTCTCTATCATTTTCTTTGTATTAACACTGTCCTTTTCTTGTTTTGTCATTCAT